TGACAATTTACTATATTAACAACTAAATTTATTGTCTGATCACTGGTTGGTCAAACCAGAATCTCTCCTCTTTTTCTTTTTTTCCCCCTTTCACCAAAAGTTTCACCTATTGTCCTGCAACCTGGAGAGTTAATTGTCAGCAGTGGATACAATTTACACTATTTTAACACTGACGACAGATAACAAGCTGATCTTCATTGCGTGTGTGTGTTTGTGTCAAAAAGGGTCTTATTGCCAAATTTTGAGCAGGTTTACAACATTAGGAAATTGCTGCGGTACTTAGTGCAAAAATACTGTCATATAATGCTTAAATAAACATAAATATAAAAATTAAAAGTGCTAAGTAGATAGATAGATAGATAGATATATACATGAGTGCAGGTGGTGATCAGTGCCAAACATGGAATGATGCAGTGAACACAGTGTAGGGTCATGTGTTAGTGGTGGGATGTCATGTGGTTATTGTTCATGAGTCCAACAGCAGAGGGAAAGAAACTGTTCTTATGGCGAAAGGTTCTGGTGCGAATGGACCGGAGCCTCCTGCCTGAGGGGAGCAAGTGGTTGACAGGGACGGATTTTCTCCTGTCACTTTCTTGGCCTTTATAGCTTCGTCATATTGCACTTTATGGTGATGTTTAAGGTGGTTATACAAATTCGTAGTGTTAGCTTGCGGTCCTGCTACTATGGCAAAACACAGCTTGCAAATGATGTCTTTTTGACTCTCATCGTCTTCTTTGAAACCAAGAAACTTCCACACGGAGGAATGAGAACCTTTTCTTGGAAAAGGTTAATGTTACAGTGGGGTTGTCATTCTCACCGCCTTCAGCGAGCTTTTCCTCTGCACTCATTATGTTTTCTCCCCTCAGGCAGTTTCTCTCACGTGCTCTTAGAGCGGGGCGATAGAATGATAACAATATGTATTGTGAAATAACTTTTTCTCGATAGAAAAATTTAACTATTGCAATAGGCCTCACCGCTCTTGTCCTCTTAAAAAAAAAAAGAACAGCCAATCCAAATTAAGTAGTGCAGAGCTGAACCAATCACAGCCGCAGCGTCACGTCACGTGACTTGTTACGTACAGCACAAGTGCCAAGCCACATATGTGTATTTGTTTTGGGAAGCAGCCAGCCGCCGTGTTGCCCGGGTAATGGAGGAAATGAGTGTGCCAACTAGAGAAAAATCAACCGAGAGCGTGATCGAAAGTTATCGAAGAAAAAAACCAATGATGGTTCCAATGCCAGAGAGATTGTCGAACAGAAGAGCCATAGAAGTTCCGGAGTATGAAGGTATTTCGGCTATTTCAAGTCAAACAGAGTAGCGCGCACTGTAAATTGCGCCGAAAGCAAGTCTGGAAATACAATTAACCATGCTCAATCTCTGACTGAAAGCGCTAATTCGTCATTCGTCAAACACTGTTAAAACTGTTTGAAAAGCTAAGCTATACAACAAGGAGAGATTGAGAATTTCCTTTTAATTCTCAGTTTATTTGATATTGACAAAAGTTAGTCAATTTTGTCTGTTCTTCTGTAAAACAAACTAAGATTTATTTTTAGAATTAATAATTTCTAAGTGGAATTGACAATTTAGTAGTCTGTTTTGTTTGTTCTATTTTGAAACTTAAACGCTTTAGTGGCTGCCTTTTGTGTAGTTTGCAATATTTGCCTTTGTTTAGCTGAAAAAGTCTCATGTTCCTTAAGTACATCTACCCTGTTGAAATTATGGGAAATAATTATTTAAATCAAAAAAAGCTGCTGATTATTTCACATTTTACTTACAAATATAGTTATTTGGCTTATATCGTGATATATATCATTATCGTCTGAAATGAAAAAAGAAAAAACATATCGTCATATGAAAAAATCTCATATCGCCCAGCTCTACGTGCTCTGTTGTTTTTTTCCCCTTCCCGCTGGCTTCTGTATCACATGGTATGAGGCTCTGCCCTTTTCATTTGTTGAGCATGAAGAGTGAGCGCTTATTTTCATGTACATTATGTCCCAAAATGCGGTGCAATTGTGGGTTTTTTGTTTTTTTTAAAAACATTTTCATTTGGAAATGAGATCACATAAAAGTATGAATTGAAATCGCGATTTTCTAACATTTAGTTGATAGCATTATTTAGGGCTGCACAAACAGATTTTTTATTTTTTTATTTTAAAGATTTGTTATATAAGGATACCACAGGCTGAATTGTAGATGGTGCTGCTTGGGTCCAAACTGTCATACAATATGAAAAATGAGAATATCATGGAATGCTGTCACAGTCTGGCAGAGGCAGACTGTATGGAGTGATGTAGAGGAGCCAAAATGGAACGTGAAATAAAACTTGACCCCGATCTCGGTAGAACAGAGGTTCATGGCGAAGCCGTTCAGGGGGGCCAACCCGGAGGTCGACAGCATAGCAGTTCAAAGGTTCACTGGGTCGGCCACGAGTCCAATGGTGGCGACGGAGGAGATCTGGGGGCCGACCATGTGGAAGGTGGCAGTGGCAAAGCAGGCACGGCTGGACAGCTTGGCTGACGGCCGGTGGTGATGTGGGCGTGTACATGGACCCTCGGGTGGCTTGGTGGGGTCCCGGCCATCACAATGCCCTATACCTGCAGAAAAGGCTAACATTGTTATCTTTTTAAGAAGAAAAAAAAATTTAAAAAAAACCCCAGCTAAACATGAGGTTTTTGGACAAAGTGTGTGTTCTCCATTCTTTAAGCACTGGTTCGAGCACTGTTTAAGCACCGGCAGAGTTTCAAAAGTACCGGTTTGGTACGGGTATCGGATAAAACCTAAATGATACCCATCCCTACTGCTGCATCGACATGGACATGGAGACAGGCGGGAGACTCAACATGCCAACTTGAACTCCTGTAGCTGGTGTAGGGAGAGCTGCGTCACACAGGGGATGGAGTGGTTCAGTCTGCATTCTGGGCGGCTGCTGCCTTGGCAGTGAATGGGAAACTCCTCCAGATGTAGCCAAAACAGTTTTTGTGATGCTCCGATAAACGCTCCACAAAAAACGGATTGGCAGCAATAATCCAACATAGCTGGACCTGAATAGATTCCTTCTCCACCTTCTGCAGAGAAGATAATCCAAAATCCATGGAGCTGTGCGACGTGGACACTAAACTAAAAAAAGTTTGTGAAATGAATGTATGCTGGGTCCCACATGGTCAGATCGCTCTGTCACAGTCTGGCAGAGGCAGACTGTATGGAGTGATGTAGAGGACCCAAAATGCAGAAAAAAAATGGAACGTGGAACAAAACTTGAATTAACAAAAAGTGAGCCGTTTAATGAGGCTGGTAAAAAAGAAAAAAAAAGTACAACAAACGCAAACTGAAGTAAAACTAACATTAACCTAAACTGAAAGAACTAAACAAACAACATGAAATCTAAAAGCATGGAGAGAACAACAGACGACCTGACAAAAAACAACCAGAAACACAGACTGAATACACACAAGGGTGATTGGGGGAAGTGGAAACACATGGGGAAACAACTGACACTAGTCTGACATAACGAGACAATGGAAGCAAAGCTGACTACTCTGACATAGGACACAGACCTTCAAAATAAAACTGGAAACATGAGACGCAGACATGACATTACAAACTTGATAACATAAGACACAAAGGGAAACACAAAGGGTGAGGGAAACTTAAATACAGGGGAAGAAAATAAAAGAGGAATCTAATAACCAAATGAACTTTGCTGACCTAAAGAACTTAAACATAAACCATAAACATCAAAAATGAACTAGAATTCAAAACACTGGTTCAAAAGACCCAGGAACGTGACAAATGCATAAATAACTGAGCTGCTGAAGCAGGTATATAGTGCCGAATTAACTTAAAATTAAATTAACTTAAAACAATTCAGATTAGCCTTGAACGTTTTAGCAATCTCCCTTACATGCTTGTCAAATTTAAGAAGTAGATCAAAAATTATTCCTAAAAACTTAAAATCTTTGACCTCTTTTATTTCTTCGTTCCTTAACTGGATATGAAACTCATCGTTTATCTGATCATTAGGAACAAGAAACTAAGAATCTGTTAGTCTCACTCATTTAAACCCTCTGCTGCATTCTGTTCACCCCTGCTATCATTCAATCATCTTTCCTAATATAATATTAGTCCACTAGTTCATATATCGCTTCTCATCTTACTAAGTGAACCGAACAACATAATAAAATCAGAAACACAGGCTTAAAATACCATCTGGTATTCATGAGCTTCATTGCGTGTGTGTATGTGTTAGTACGATTAAAACATTCTGTGCTTATGTATGTCATTTTAATTACTTTCCCCTTTTTCTGAAACAAATCTCTGTTTACTACACCTTCTTGTTTCAGAAACATCTAAAGAAGAAAATCTCTATTGTAGTCAGGCACAGCTAAATTCTGCTTGTGAGTTAACCTAGCCAACCACACTGTGTGTTGTTAACGCCTTCAACATGTACCCCCTCGTGATGTGTGCCACTTCCTCTATGTCCTCGATTTGTACCACCATATGGAGGACCGCAAGAGCCACACACATCAAAATACAGAATTCTTAGATGCTTAGATGATGAATTGTAGAATAAATTCTCCATTTGTAAAATAATTTTAGAATTCCACATTAACAAAGTGAGTTTTGAAATGTTTTTTTAAAAACCTCATTACCATCCTAGGGAAGCTAGGATGGTAATGAGGTGCTTGGAGATGTTGTAGGTGGCTGAGTTTATACTGCTACCATTGAGACTGATCGGGACTCCGTCTTTGTGGATCTATGGAAGTCCAAATATACAGGGTGTAGCATCCCCTGGGTAAAAGCGGCGATATGCAGGGGGGTCAGTGATTTTTCCTTTCAAGTTCTTGTAGGCAACTGATGACTTTCTTTTTGTAGTTGCTTCTGGGGTTTCACCTTGAAGCTTCATAGGTATTGTTGTCACTGAGGAGTTTAGTCATGTTTATTTGCTCTGCTTCTTTTTGTCAGGGATAAAATACAAATATATACTTTTTGTGTCCCAGCTGAGTAACAGGAGGAGAAGAGTGGTGGTGCAGCAGAGGATAAATTTCAGCCATTTGGACTCAGCTCAGCCACTACAGAGGAAAGAATGTCTTCAACACAAAAGGTGAGAAAAACATCACAGTTACTCTGTTATTGAAACTGTGTGTACAGCTTGTTGGTTTTTAAAAACCTGTTAACAGCAGCTTTATCTTTTCCATCCTGGACTCCTCCATATATACAGAATCTACATTCACAACCAAAAACCACAGAAGTTACAAGAAAATACAAAGATCATATTTCCTACACACACTGAAACAACAATATCATCAGTTGAACTCTGATTTTTTTCTGAAGTAAAAGAGTTTCACTGATGATCAATATTTCTTCAATAATGTCATTTTGTACAACTCTCATTGTAGCAGATCATTGTAATGTGATACTATCACCAGAAGGTGGTGGTAACACACCTACAATGTGTTTTTTGACATGTTTGATTCCACCAATGGAGGGAGTTTCAGTTTGTTGCACGACTGAATTTCACTCACTGCCTGTGTTTGTATCTCTGTCACTGCAGGACCAACATGGAGCAAGAAGTCAGCGCTCTCAGGAGGCCGACAAACCTTACAGAAGAAAGGGAGAGGAAACCTACAGCTGTGATGAGTGTGGGAAGTATTTTGTCCAGGCTGGAGACTTGAAAACACACCAACTCATCCACAGTGGAGTTAAACCTTACAGCTGTTACTTGTGTGGAAAATCTTTTACCCAGGCTGCAAACTTAAAAACACACCAACTCATCCACAGTGGAGTTAAACCTTACAGCTGTGAGTTGTGTGGAAAGTCTTTTACCCTGGCTCAAAGTCTAAAAGCTCACCAACTCATCCACAGTGGAGTTAAACCTTACAGCTGTGACTTGTGTGGAAAGTCTTCTACCCGGGCGGAACACCTTAAAACACACCAACTCATCCACAGTGCAGTTAAACCTTACAGTTGTGAGTTGTGTGGAAAATCTTTTGTGTTGGCTCAATACTTAAAAAGACACCAACTCATCCACAGTGGAGTTAAACCTCACAGCTGTGACTTGTGTGGAAAGTCTTTTACCCGGGCTGAAGGCTTAAAAAAACACCAAGTCATCCACATTGGATTTAAAGCGTACAACTGTGACTTGTGTGGAAAGTCTTTTACCCAGGCTGAAGGCTTAAAAAAACACCAAGTCATCCACAGTGGATTTAAAGCGTACAACTGTGACTTGTGTGGAAAGTCTTTTACCCAGGCTCAAAGTCTAAAAAAACACCAACTCATCCACAGTGGGGTAAAGCCTTACAGCTGTGAGTTGTGTGGAAAGTCTTTTACCCAGGCTCAAAGTCTAAAAAAACACCAACTCATCCATAGTGGAGTTAAACCTTACAGCTGTGACTTGTGTGGAAAGTCTTCTACCCGGGCTGGAGACTTGAAAAAACACCAACTCATCCACAGTGGAGTTAAACCTTACAGCTGTGACTTGTGTGGAAAGTCTTTTACCCTGGCTGGACACTTAAAAACACACCAACTCATCCACATTGGATTTAAAGCATACAACTGTGACTTGTGTGGAAAGTCTTTTACCCTGGCTGTACACTTAAAAACTCACCAACTCATCCACAGTGGATTTAAAGCGTACAGCTGTGAGTTGTGTGGAAAGTCTTTTACCCAGGCTGGACACTTAAAAACTCACCAACTCATCCACAGTGGAGTTAAAGCGTACAGTTGTGACTTGTGTGGAAAGTCTTTTACCCAAGCTGGAGACTTAAAATCTCACCAACTCATACACAGTGGAGTTAAAGCGTACAGCTGTGAGTTGTGTGGAAAGTCTTTTACCCTGTCTGAAGGTTTAAAAAGACACCAAATCATTCACAGCGGAGTTAAACCTTACAGCTGTGACTTGTGTGGAAAGTCTTTTACCTTGTCTGAAAGTTTAAACAGACACCAAATCATTCACAGTGGAGTTAAAGCTTACAGCTGTGACTTGTGTGGAAAGTCTTTTACCCTGTCTGAAGGTTTAAAAAGACACCAAGTCATCCACAGTGGAGTTAAACCTTACAGCTGTGATTTGTGTGGAAAGTCTTTTACCCAGGCTGGACACTTAAAAACACACCAAGTCATCCACAGTGGAGTTAAACCTTACAGCTGTAAATTGTGTGGAAAGTCTTTTGCTCAAAATAGCGAATTACAGAAGCATCTAGTTACCCACTCTGGAGTTAAGGGGTACAGCTGCGACTTTTGTGGAAAAAGGTTCAGTGACAAACAGTACCGAAATATTCACCTACGGATTCACACTGGAAATGATGTTTTCTACTGTGATCAGTGTGGGAAACTGTTTGCAACAGATTCACAGTTACAACGACACATGTTTAGCCACTCTGAGGAGAGACCTTATAAATGTGACCTGTGTGAGAAGACTTTTAAATCTCCACATCAGCTGAAAAAACACCAACAGATCCACACAAGGAAGTAACTCTACAAGTGCAGTTACTGTGAGGTATGTATTTAGTTTTATCTTGTAATTGTAACCTGATTGCTTGGAACAAGTCTGATCAGTAAACTTATGGAGTTATACTGAATGAACTGTTTTGAAAAATGAAGACTCATTTTCACTCAGTAAGCTGAGTGTTATAATGTAAACAGTAAAATGTAATTGGACGTTGGCAGAGATGCTTTTTATTTCAGGCAACGTTCAGAATAAAAACGTTGAAGGAATTCCCTGACTTACAATGTCTTTGTTTAGAAGCGGAGCGAAGCACACTGATCCATTTCTCAACCCTGTGGTCACTGTGGTGGTGGGAAAGCGTTTCTCTTTGACCTATGTAGAAAAACTTCTAATCATCAACGGGACCAAAAAACCACATCAACGTAGACACACTGGAGACAAAATGAAAAACTGTAAAGAATGTGGGAGAGGCTTCCACACACCAAGTACATTAAAAATACATGAACTCTTCCACAGTGGAGTCAAAAAGCACATCTGTGACCAGTGTGGGTCATCCTTCACCACTGCAGGAGGGACACCATACAAGTGCAGACACTGTGACAAAAGGTCATCGTAACAAACATGAACGTACACACATGGAAGTGAACTTCAGCTGTGACCAGTGTGACAAGAGCTTCAGGAATCTCAGTTCATACTTCAAACACAAACGATCCCACGCTGTAAATAAACTGTTTCACTGTTACCAATGTGCAAAAACCTTCACTTCATTATCTGCTCTGTGCAAACATCAGCCTGAGCATGCAGGACTGAAATCACTGGATCACAATGAATCTGAAGAGAGAGAAAGATCCTCTTCTGGTTTCAGGGTCAGACTTAAAAACCTTGAGATCAGGCTCCACAGAGTTTAGATGGAATCTCCTGTAAAGAGTGTCAGCTGATGTCACACTTGGATCTGATGAGGTAGCTCTGATTTCTGAACCTGCAGTGAATAATTCTGAATGTTACATTTAGGAAGCTGCATGTATAGATATGTATATCAAGTTTATTTTTTTTACTTTTAGGGATTTTAATTCTCTAAAATGTTATCCCTGTTACATTTTATTCTTTGTTTCCTTAGGACACAGTAGTGTTTAGTAGTTGTATTCATTTTATGTGTTACCTAAGTTAAATTTCAATCCTTCATTCATATTTAATCTTTTGCTGTGGTAAAATCTTCTCTTAAATCATTTTCTCCCAAAACTGCAAATGTTTTCACAGCAATTGCTCTAAAACTTCCAAAATGAACTAAATCTGTCCACCAGCTTTGAAACGACACCTGCTGTGACTTTATGTCCAGAAAAAAGAAACTCAAGCTAAACTGGTTTTGGGCTGTATTTCCATATAATGCCAGTTTGTACCAGAAGATGAACCAGTGAGTCAGTGTAACCTTTATTCAATTAGGCAAAGACCACATTCGTATTCACAGAGGCAGCAAAGAAATGTTGAAAGTTAAAAACAGCAGCACACATCAGGACCATTTTAAAGATCACAGATGACTACTTTTACTTAATTCAAATTCCTTCAAATTTTGGCTCCTCCTTTCACTTTAGTGTATTTACTATATCCTTGAAGTCCACGTGTTGTTTTTTAATAAATTCATTTTGATCCACATGTTCGGCAGCTGTTTCCCTGTTGATTTGAAGTTTGTATTATGAAATCCTGATAATGTTAAAGCGTTAGTTATATTTCAAATCAAATCAAATCACTTTTATTGTCACATCACATGTGCAGGTACATTGGTACAGTACATGTGAGTGAAATTCTTGTGTGCGAGCTTCACAAGCAACAGAGTTGTGCAAATACAATAATGTAAACAAGAAAAATACAAGAATGGCTACATCTGAAACTAATAAATATATGTACAGTATATAATAGTATATGCATTCCTGGATGTGTATACTAAATATTTTTCTACGTGTGTGTGTGTGTGTGTGTGTGTACACACATATTTTACAAGTTAAATAGAGTAAACAATAAATAAAATCTATAAAAATATACAGAGTTGAGACGTGTGCAAAACAGTGGCATTTACTGTACAGTATGGAGTGCATAATGTTGAAGTTCCAGTAGTGAAGCTGAGTTGTTTATGACGTGTTCAGCAGTCTGATGGCCTGATGGAAAAAGCTGTCTCTCAGTCTGCTGGTACGGGACCGGATGCTGCAGAACCTCCTTCCTGATGAAAGTAGTCTGAACAGTTTATGGCTGGGGTGACTGGAGTCCTTGATGATCCTCCCCGCTTTCCTCAGGCAGCGCTTCCTGTAGATGTCTTGGAGGGGGGGAAGCTCACCTCCAATTATCCGTTCAGAGCACCGCACTACTCGCTGGAGAGCTTTGCAGTTGTAGGCGGTGCTGTTGCCATACCAGGTGGTGATGCATCCAGTGAGGATGCTCTCAATGGCACAGTGATAGAAGGTCCTGAGGATGGGGGGTTCATGCCAAATCTTTTCAGTCTCCTGAGAAAGAAGAGGCGCTGCTGCGCCTTCTTCACTGTTTTGTTTATGTGTACTGACCATGTAAGATCCTCAGCAAGATGTACACCAAGGAACCGGAAGCTGCTCACTCTCTCCACAGCAGCGCCGTTGATGGTGATGGGGGTGTGTACTTCTCTGCACCTCCGGAAGTCCACTATCAACTCCTTTGTCTTTGCGACGTTGAGGGTGAGATGGTTGTCTTGACACCAGTGGGTCAGGGCGCTGACCTCCTCCCTGTAGGCCGTCTCATCACCATTGATGATAAGACCCACCACTGTAGTGTCGTACGCAAACTTCACAATGATGTTGGAGTTGTCAGTGGCTGTGCAGTCGTAGGTGTAGAGTGAGTATAGGAGAGGGCTCAGTACACACCCCTGTGGAGCACCAGTGTTCAGTGTGATGGGGGATGGTAAATGGCCTGTATTTATATAGCGCTTTACTAGTCCCTAAGGACCCCAAAGCGCTTTACATATCCAGTCATCCACCCATTCACACACAGGTGATGGCAAGCCACATTGTAGCCACAGCCACCCTGCGGGGCACTGGCAGAGGCGAGGCTGCCGGACACTGGCGCCACCGGGCCCTCTGACCACCACCAGTAGGCTACGGGTGAAGTGTCTTGCCCAAGGACACAACGACCGAGACTGTCCAAGCCGGGGCTCGAACCGGCAACCTTCCGATTACAAGGCGAACTCCCAACTCTTGAGCCACAATCGCCCCCATTGAGGTGATGCTGCCCAGTCTGACCACTTGGCGTCTGTCAGACAGGAAGCTAAGGATCCAGCTGCAGAGG